ATAAATAAAAAAAAAAAAAAAAAAAAAAAGAGGGAGAAGGAGAGAGGGGGGAGAGGAGGAGAGGAGAGAGAGAGAGAGAGAGAGGAAGCGAGGGAGACAGAGAGATTAAATAAATTTACTCCTTTTGGGGTGATAATACTACCAAAGGAGTCACAGACTACTTAAGGAAAACCCCAGTAACTGGCATTAGAAATATTCTTTTGAGTCATGGTTCAGAAGGGTCCAAGAGATTCCCCAAACAACAGACTCTTGATATTGCTCCTGGTTGTCTCTCAGAAGTTGGAAGTAAGTCTTTATTGTTGAAGATACAGCATGCTTAACTGACCCAAAAACCTTCTCCCTGAGAACTTGATTTCATGGTACCAGAAAGTGACACTCAAACTTCTAAGAGAGAAAAGCAATTATTAGCCCTACACAGCTGTAATTCCCCTGAACTATAAAAATGGCAAGATATCCTTAAAGGTCAAATAGAGGCAGTTATGTCTTTGAAGTAACCAACAGTTGTCTAATTGGACTCAATGTTAGCCATCTTAACTGGAGGGAAATCATGCCCAGCATTACACCTAAACAACCTCACAAAGTCAGTGTCATCATAGATTTTAGAGGAGAGTCCATTTCCACCTCTTTCCTAAACCAGTATAATTGCTGCCTGTGTTCTAAGTACTTATCCTTATACCCATGAACAAGAGTAGCATTCACCACTCATCAAAGAAGAAACTGTTTCCAGTAGAAGGAGATGATTACAGAAAGTCACAACTAGTCACAAAAATGCAGAGAATAATGGATCATGGGCTTCCCAGCCTCAACTGATACACTTACAATATAACTCCTGAATAAATAGTATGGAAAAGGGAGCAGGAGCAGAAAGATTATAAGAGACAGAAAGCTGGGAGGTCTGTTATGTTATCGCGCCTCCTTGTTATGATAGACAAGCTCTACTCATCAAATATCTCCAACATGACTGCCTAAACAATATATGAAAATTTCCAATGAGAGTTGTCATCCCAATATACGTAGGAGAAATTTCATAGGGCCTCACCCTCAAATGAAGAGCAACAAATGATTAACAGCTCCTGAGAAAAGGAGAATTTGTTTTCCCCTAGGAAGAAATGCTTTGATTGCTTACCTAATACCAAATAGGAAGCCCTAGAAACACACACAAGCAACACGGAAAGGGCTGGGCAAATTGTATTTATGTGTTTATTCATTTATATGTATGTGGGAAAACAATGGTTTAAAAAGAGGGGTCCAGAAAATTGAGAGGTTGTGGTAGAGGTGCACATGCGAGCAGTATCAGGGGGGAGAAGAAGGGGAAAATATTGTAAATATATTTTAACATTGAAAGGTCTGGGTACTAGCTCAAAATTATCTGACCTGTGATCTCAATGGTTATGGTGAAAACAATTACAATATAACAGAATTTGTCTGGTGACGATCAGAGTTTAGAGATTGGTGAGAAATGGCTGTGACTCAATAGCGAAAAGATGCATTCCGAAGTTTTGTTTACTTGATAAAAAAAGTAGAAGTAGTCTGTTTTTGATAGATAAAAAAAGTAGAAGTAGTCTGATGTAGTGGAGTGTATCACCAAGGCAACCATAGCTAAGTGGAGTTCAAAACAGAATCCAAATTCAGCCTCCTGACACCTAGTACATCTGCTTTCCAAAGAAAATAATTATAAAGACAAAAGAAAACAAGAAAATTTAATAATCTTGGTTGCGTTCCTAGAGCCAGGAACAAATTTCCCTTGATAAGCCAGTGTTGGCACAGGGGAAGTTGATGAAATAGGTACCAGGTGTTCTCCAATGGTCCACTCCTCCATTACTCAGCCTCCTCTTCTCCACGTGATCTTAATTACAGTCTAGTTATAGTCAACACTGGGAAACATGTGGTGAAATATTAATAATCTATTTCAAGCAGAAATATGATGCTTCAACCAATTTTCTAAGGACTCAATCCTACTCTCTCCCAGATCTCATGAATCTTCTTTCTTCCTTTCTGCCTTTCTTCTTTTTACTTTACAACATTAGATTCAATAGTTTCAATCTAGTAACTTTTGAGTGAGTTTTATGATAGCATTTCCATATATACTTGATTAACCCTCTTCTGACTTTATTCACCTGTCTCTGTGCCCCTCAGCCATGGGGCACTCACTTCCTCTCCTGCTTTCTTGATTCAGATATTCCATTGTCATCATGTCTCTTTCCCCTCTCATAATGTTTTCATATTCAAGGCCCATCTCCCCCTGACACACATATAACATTTAAACTCTATGATCTGCACCTGAGATGAAGCATGCAGTCATTTGTCTCTCTTCCTTTGATTCCAAACTTAATGTGACTAGCTGATTCAAGGTACTGCTGTTGTGACTTTTCTATCACAATGAACTATAATATAGAACTAAAACCTAACAAAACCCTTTCTCCATAAAAGTTGCTTTTGGTAGAGTATTTTTTCACAACAACAGAAAAGAAACCAAAATACAGTCCTCGGGAAGTGAAATAGTTGGGTCATAGATTGCTCTACTTTTAGTCTTTTGAGAAACCCCCATGGTGACATCCCTAAGTGGCCATGCAAGTTTTCATTTCTATGAGCAGTGAGTAGGACTTCAATTTCATCATTTATTCACTAGTATTTTTCTATGTAAAGATAGCAAACTTACTGGTAAATAAATTAGGGGAAATATCCCATTTGCAGAAGTTTAAAGCATACCTAGGTGATAAGCTTAGCCCTGGAGGGAAACGACCTCTACATTGAAATCTAGGATATTGAGGAGACAACTTGACAATGACACTCGAAAATTAAAAGACCTCCTATGCTTATGGACTAGCAGAAATAGCATTGTTTCAATGGCTTTATCTGATAGTGATTCTCAAGTTCAACAAAATCAAAATTCCAATGATGCATTTTGTTGAATTAGGGAAAAATTAACTTAAAAGTCACATAGAAACACAGAGGACCTGACTAGCCAAAGCACACTTGAGCAGAAAGAACAATGCTGAAGGTGTAAAGTTGCTGACATTATGTTATGTGTGGAGTCACAGTGACAAAACAGCAATTGAGCATCAATGTAGTCATTCATCAGTTTGAGTTATTGTGTGAAATAAGAGTTGTGTTTACAATATTTAATAAAGTCATGGAAAATGTGATTGAAATTTGTTAGGAAAAGCTACCCATCTGAATAGCTTGTTTACAGAGTAACTTAAAAACTTAGAGAACTGAGGCAACTTTAATGGAAAGAAATAAATTCTCTTGGAATTGAAATGAAAGTGAATGCAGGCGAATGATGGACCAGAGGAAACAGATGTGATGGGTGGCTCTGAGTCAGATAATTTATTGACAACAAAAAGTTTTTTTTTTCTCTTTTGAAAGAAGAGAAAAGCTACAAAAGGCTGCTAGAATGGAGTAATTTGATAGGGGATTTGCTTTGAGAAGCACAGGAATCATGTGAATATTCAGAGTCCTCTATGAGAATGAGGACCAATCAAGGTAAAGGCATCTGATGATGAGTGGTGGATCAAGGTTTACACATCCTGGAGTTGTGGGGAAAGATGATATATAAACAGCTGATGTAACTAATCACAGATGGGCCTGCTAACTTTTCTAGAGTTTACAGTAACATTACTTAAGCGCCTTTTCCTGATGGATTCTCCATTCCTGTGGTCTATGCTTTCTTGATGCCCTGATGCTACTCAGTTCTTTACCAGAAACAGAAGTTAGCAGGTATAAGATGGAATACAGAAGAGAAGAGGTTGGATTTTGATGTCACAGGAAGGTTTGTTTTTCAGATGACTAGCATCGATCTGGGAGGGCATTCACCCAGACTCACGCAGTAATGGAAGAGTGGTCAGGTTTCAGGAGGTGCATGGCACTCAGACATGAAATATGCTCATGAAATAGGCTCCAAGAACCAATGAATTTCTGTGAAGGTAGGTGGTTGAAACTGATGTCTCAAAATAAAGCATTAAAACCTATGCCAACCCAACTGGCTCACATTTAAATTGGTTTTAAATGTAGGAAAAGGCTATGACTTAATATTGTCAAAAGAGTTTAGCAGTAAATCCTATGCTCTAGTCCTTAAAAGTGCAAATTTAGTGATAAAAGTAGAAGATTCTTGCAAAACCAAACATTTGCATTGCACATTCCTTTCATGCTAGGGTGTCCTTTGTTTCAGACTAAGGAGAATGGGAACATTTACACTGTGTTTTGCATGCTGAGGATGTCTAAAATAATGTAAAGCTTAAATTCTTTGACATAGATTGATTATCAAGACAAAGGTAAAATTTAAAAATCGTCATGCCTTCCTCCTTGAATTGCTTACTAAGATTTCTACATGTTATTAGAAGACTGAAATAATGGGAATGCCTTATGCCTGGGAAATGCATCTTTTTAAGCAAGACTAGTGTGGTTCCAGTTCCCCAAAGGGTTTATAATTATTTCATGCTTGTTTTCCAAAGGGGATTACTTTAGTCAGACTTTCTAATTAATGTTTGAAGAGAATAGTGGGTAACTCTTAAACGAGAAAACAATTTCATTTGAAATCAGTGTTCTGAAAACTGCCATGCTATTGTTGACCCACACAGTAGTTGTATGGACTTCAGGGTAGTGCCTGGCAGATTTCAAATGCCTAAAGCATTAGTTTATCTAATCAGTTGATCACAGGCATGTTTCCCTAATGCTCATTTCAGTGCACCCAATGGCATTCTCCCAAAAAGCCTAACTTTCCCTTTAAGAATAATAACATATCAGTAGCATGTTGAGCCTCATTTAGAAAAAAAAAATCTGAAAAAAATCTGAGGTCCAATGATATTTAGTTCATCTTTAATGATATTTGATTCATCTAACTATATATGTTTGTATAAATTACATGCCTAAATGCAATTCAATAAAATAGAGTGCAGAGGAATCTTTGTCCAACTACATTAGCAATAAAGTATATTAATTTTTACTCAAGAAAAATAACTTTGTAAAGAATATTAATAGCAATATTGGTGTGTTTTTCCCCATAATTCTGAGCTTTAGAAGCCAAATAAGACATGACCTAAGATTTGGATTTTCTAAATTTAAGTTAATAATGAACTACATGTAGCTTCAAATAATTTAGTTTCTAAAATAACCATTTTAGGTGAAATAATGCAGATGATTGAAAGAATGAATACTCTTTAGATTTTCTGCACAGCCCTAGTGTTAGCAGCTGGGATAAAAGGGCAGCCTTTGATATCACAGTTCAAACCCAGCCAGCCTTATATTTGACTGTTTATTAGCTGACTATATGACTAATATTTAGCAAATACCATAACATAACTACTCATAACATTTTAAACACTAAAAGAATAAGGTCAGAATGAACTAGCACAGGGTAATATTAGTTTTAAGTGAAAGCATGGTTTGTCAATTTTTAAAGCTACTTTTCAACAAAACATTTCATACCCTGCTTTAAACACATCTTAAAGTATATATCCATAGGTTATACTAAAATTAAAGTATACATAAGAATAAATACATACTTATGAAAATGAGTACTTTAGCACTTTATATTTAATACAATTATAAATTTAGAGTTATCCTTCATTTTACAATTCCTATGCTTAGAAACAAGTAAACATATGCTTAATTTGAAAGCCAAAGAATTCACCTTAGCGTGTCTTGGCAGACAGAGTCAAAATGAAATATAGTCATATGTTTGCAAGAACACAAAAATATTTTACTGTCATTAAATTCCCTAATTTTTAACTCTGAAATACCATCAGATTTCAGATGCTAACATCCAAATGGACAAAGTGAAACAGTCAGGCTTACCTCGGATCTCCGCCCCCTGTTTAGGTAAGTGCACACGGGGCTGAAAGCTCCGCTTCCACAGACATACAGGTGAGTGCGGTTGAAGGTCTGAATAACACGGACGAAATTCCCACAGCCGTGCTGGCCAAAAGAAAGCAACAGTTAATGAGGCCATGGCCTATTAAACCTACAGTCACTCTGTTAACCTGGGATGTGGTGTGGCAGGTGATGATATGGGGACATTTGCTCTTGTCCATGTCTTGGAGAAACTGTGTACAAACTTGTAAATGCCATCCGGAAACACTTATTTAACTTACGGAAATAAGAAATCAAAATGTTGAGATTTGGCTACTCAGCAATAATTACAACCCTATTACAGAAAGAGTGCCTCAACTGAGATTTGCCCATTGTAAGCCAGGTGATTTCAGAACTCAGGGCATTTTTAGTGAAGAGAAAGAACAGACAAAACCTCCTATTCTCACAGAGGTTAATAGAACAAACACTGCTGTTACGATTTAATGTCTCGTAATTCTAAGATTTTGTATGAAATGTTCTTGACACTTCTATACATCTGATTTAGACATGCTTACCTGCACATTTTCTTTCTATCTTTTCAATGCTATTGTAAAGAGACATCTTTGAAGATACAATACTAAAATAACTTGGTTTATCTCATTCATTTGTCTTGGTAACAAGCAGCCTACCTTACGTATCAGTTAAAATGATTTCCTCTCTTATTGAAGTGCTTCATATGCTTTTTTGATGTTTTGTTTATTTTTCACATGTATGTGTAGGCTTGTGGTTGTGTTTGTGCATGATCACACACGTGTGCTTGCATACTGAGACTTTGTTATTGATTTCAGTGTTTCTCCCTCCATCACTCTTCTTGTTATTCACAAAGGCAGAACTTCTCCATAGATGCCAAAATTCACTGATTTGCATAAGCTGGCTGGATCATCTGGGAGGTTGTGTCCACCCTCTGAGCACCAGAAAGACAGGTGGCCAGACCAGGGTTTAAGCTAGGTGCAGCATAACATTCAGGTGGTTTCTCTGGATTTGAACTCTGGTCCTTATACTTGCCAATTTTGTTGTAAGTTCTTTTACTGTTCAACTATGTTCCAAGTCAATCCCGTATAAATTTTCATGCTCTAAAGTTTAGAGTTTGTTTTACAAGCTTAATCTTTTATGTGATCCAGTTCAGAAATGCAGGCATACAGAGGGCACCCAGAAAGGTGGATCAATATATAAGGTTGCTTGCCACCAAGCCTGAAGATCAGTTTCATGCCCAGATCCTATGGTGTTAAAGAAGAAAACACCTCTTATTTTCAGACCTCCACTTCTGTTTGCACTTGCTCACACAGATACATACACACAACAAAAGCAAATAAACAAATAAATGTAAAAAAAACTAATAAAGACATACCATTACTTGTCTGCTCTAGTTTTCCTTAAAATATAACACACACACACACACACACACACACACACACACACACACACACACACACTACAAACTACAAAGCAATTTGAAATCAAGTTGTGCTCATTCACATTCCATATTATCATTAACTCACCATAGTAACCACAGCTACCCTATCCAACTGAGAAATGAAAGTCACCTCAGAACATCTCAATAGCTGCTGCTTCAGTGAAGAAGGTGGAATCGTTCTCTATACGCAAAGTCCCCAGCAAATGTGTTCTTCATTTTTCTCAAACCTGTTTTTCAACTGGCTCCAGTTAAACTAAATAGCCAAGGGTGTCATTGCTATACTTCTAAATTAACTGTGACCTTGCAGGAATCTGTAAGTTCCCTGTGGCCAAATTAATCATCCCAAACTCCAACACCGATGTACTCATTACTTTCGTTGATTATAAGTTAATCAAGCCTGAGACAGAATGATGTCCCCTTACAAAGTCATTTTCTCTCAAAGAATTTTATTGAACGTAATTTTATCATTTGAGATGTAATTTGTTTAATAAAGACTGTAAAATATATCAAATTTAATACAATGTCTCCCTGGATAGTCTATAATACAAGTCTCTTTTTCATGGTTTCTGGGTATGTTGTGTATCTACTATTTAAGTTATTACAAAGTATAACAAAGCAAAGTGCAAAAAACAGAAGCTAAACCTGACTTAGAAATTTATAATATTTTATATATTGCATCATTTTTGTTTGATATTCATTTTTATACTTGACAAGTATATATTTCCTTTTGTGATGGGAATTTTAAGCACATATTGTACTATGTATTATCAATAATCTTTAATTCTAATGTCAAAGAAATTAAACCTTAAAGTCCAGACTATGCACTTTATTTTAACATTAAGACAGTAATAATCTTTGTTAAAAATACAGTGCTGTATCTTGATACCTGTGTTTAGATGTACCAGCAGATTTATTATATAGCTAGACATGATAACATAATATTCCACAGAAACTGAAAAAATTGAGAGTGGTATGCATGTATCTATGTTAATACTCGTGAGCAAAGAGACCAATGCTTATTGTTTTTCTTTATAACTGATATGTGCTGCATATACAGTATATGTTTTTTAAGGACTTACATGAATTTATTAATTTTTGTCCTTTTGAAACTTAGTCCCCTTCAGAAAAATAAACCTTAGAGGCTCTTTTGTTTTTAATTTGTCTACATTTACTTAGGCAGCTACTATAAGAAGATTTCCAAACACATGTATAATATTAATCCATACTTTCCTGTATGTTATCATATACCTATGCATTAAGAATCCACACTTTTCTCTTCAGCAATTGATACTTATACAAACAGTATTTGTATGTTAGTAATGTTTTTAGGCCTCTCCCTCCATGTACCTAGATTGTCTTAACTCTCATAGCAAGGTTTCAATTAACTAGCTGAATTTCAGTGTAGTTATAAGGAAGTTGATCTCTAACAGAGATTAAATAGAGTTCTTAACCACAGACTGAAATTTGGTCCACTACGACTGCCCAGATTTTCTGTAGGGGGTTTTTACTATCACTACAAATTCCTAACTGTCCCACTGAGTTCATCTTCTGCCTCTTTTTCCACAGAATACAGAAAGTGATGCTGAACACTTGAGTTAGTCACTGCCAACCCATATTTTGAGCTCTGCTTTTCCATTGCAGAGCATCAGTTTCTGACCTTATCATGTCTGAGCTAAACTGTTGTGTAAATTCCCTTCAGTAAATGTTTGTTAAGGCACTATATCTAGAGTTAGCAACACTTCATTGTCCAGACAACTTTCTCCTTTCAAAGAAAGGAGAGGAACATATATATCAAGCTGTTTTAGGATCCATGAAGCCATCATAGTGCTATATACTAATACATACATGAATACATTCATACATGAACTCAGTGTAAAGCTTTAGCAGACATATAATTTCATCTGGGATTTGCAGAATAATCTTGACAGTAAAGATACATAAAGAATGAATTTTCCCAATGAAAACTTCCTAGTCAACAAACAAATGCAGGTGGTTGATGAAACAGCACCATGGCTTTTCCAGAAGATTTGGATTTTGTTCACTAAACCTACACTGAGTGGCTCACAACCATGTATAGCTCCAAATCCAATGTCTGGAACATCATCTTTTGATCTCTGCAGGGAGTTATGCTCACATGAACATAACCATACATTGACACACACACATACACATAATTAAATATAAAAAGTAAAGTAAAAAGAAAACAAGTACATGAGTTAGTGGATTTTTTTGCAGTGCATGTTCTAGAGTGGTGAGTGTAATACAGAATCCTGTGTCATGAAACAGGAAGCAATTGGATTGGTCTGTCATCATGCCATTGCCTTCACATAGGCAGGAGGGACACAAATAGGAACAAGTTCAGAGACACAAGTGACCTGGATTCAAACCCTGCCTTCAGCGTTTTCTACATGTTATCAAGTCAGTTATATAGGTTTTTCTATGATTCAAATTTCTCACTAGTAAGATGGCCATAGTAACATTTCTTTTGAGCAACATGTTAACAAAGCAGTAGCAACAGTTTGATTTGGGCAGTCCATCTGTACTTCCCAGGTTAGTACTAATCCTGCTCATAATATTAATATGTAAAAGATTTTGTATTGGGGACATTAGTAGAAATAACTACCAAAGATGCCTTTTTAATTTTTTGAGATTCTGATTTCATAATTTCCTTCTTCTCCTTTGTCACTCCAATCCTTTATATATAACTCTGCCTTCACTCTTTCAAATTCATGAACTTCTTAAAATTGTTGTTGTGAATGTGTGTGTGTTTATGGTATGTGTCTGTTTTCAGGATGACCATTTGGTATTTAATAATTATTTGGTGTGTTCTTTGGCTGTGGTTGTGATTTCAAGAGCATTCCCCTATCTGCATGAGTTGATGGACAGGTTGTCCAAGAGACTCCAAAACATTGTGGGATGTATGTATGTATGTATGTATGTATGTATGTATGTATGTATGTATGTGGAGATATCAGTCCATCATGGTGTAGAATGCATGGCAGAGTGACTCTGTGGTTGTGGGAGCTTGTAGCAAGTGTTTACACAGCAAAGACAAAGAATAAGACAGAGAAGTCTAGAACCAAAGACGGGTACAATTTTCGAAGGCAAGCCTCTGGTGACCTATTATGTCACATGGACCCACTGCCTAAAGGCATCATAACTTTCAAAATAGTGCCACAAAATGAAGAGTGAGCCCTCTAAACAGAAGCTTGCAAAGGGTACTTTAGAGCTAGATCAGAACACTAGATATCTTTATACTGGTTCTTGCCAGGTAATGAAAAGTGTCATTTCCATCCTTGACTGATGAGAAGGCCATCTTGAACCAGTTCAAGCACTGTGCCCACAGTCTTCAAATTGTATGATTAAATAAAGCTATGCCATTACTTTATAGAGTTAACTTTGATCAGTTAAAGGACTAGAATAAAATAGCTTGTGTCCTCTTTAATTGAGTAGAAAAATGCTGTATTACCACCATAATAATTTGCTCTCAGTAAAACTGTTTATTGTAGAATATTATTTTTATCTGGTATAACATTTAAAATGCTGCTGGATTCAACTCTCCTGCCCCTTGTCTTGGAAAAGTGTCTCCTATATTACTGGCAGCCCTTCAGCTAGCTCTTCTTGATAATTTTGTGCCTCTGATCCAAGAGCAGGTGTTAAGGATGTGTGTTATCATGCTGGGCTCACATGGTGTTGGATCTGGACACAAAGAATGGCTTCCATTCTAGGCATGAACTGACGGTCTAGGTACATTCCTATCCCCTCCTTAAAAAATATGTGTATTTATAAATTGCTGTCGATTTCTACAAATGAAATTTCTGAAATACAAATTCTGGTGTCTTTGTGCTGACTAGATTTTTACTGCTTCTTTCTGTTTCACTTAAGAGATGTTAAATACATTTAAAAGAAAAGGAACAAGGAGATATTATTCTGAAATCCACATATTTGCTATAGACACTGTTAATCTAACAGCCTTAGCAAACTCATCATCTACCATGTCACATTGCTCCTAATAAACTCTTTGAACTGATTCCCTTGTTTAATTGCTTTCCTCGCTATTAACTCAGAACTAGTTTGAATTTGATGAAGTTTCTAGATACTGATCTGGGCATAGTGGATAATGACATTTGCCACACAGTGTTTCCAATTAGTGCAGAGAGACATACAATTAAGGACTGATGTGGTAAGTGGTAAGGTGTTTCAGCAACACACACAGGAGGAGCACCAACCCAAGACTGCTGGGAGAGGAGTTCCCAGAGAAGTAGCCATTGTATCATAAGTAGAAAGGATCAGAAGACATTTCAAAAGCCAAAGCTGCAGAGTAATTGGAGTTGATGAACAGATGCAGGATAAACCAAAAGGATGGGGAAATAAAAGAGGGTTTACCTAAAGTGAATCTTCCTGTGGTTGATATAAAACATGGGCTAACGTTGACAGATCTAGCTAATATGGTTTCTGCCAAACTTATAAAAGCACACTTTGCAAAAATACCCAGCTCCATTGTTGTCCTTTGCCTTGTGTCTCCCTAGCCCCACTGTTCTTTCCTGGGAAGATATGCAATTTCGCTGTGAAGGTCAGGATGTGGGGCCGATGTCCTCCACCAGACAAAGGCCATCCCACTCACAGCTGTAAAACTCGGAACACATTTCTCATTCTCCTTACTCACTCCATTTCTTAATCTTTAGATCATGGCTGTTTTCAATTTCTAGCTGGCATAACTCTGCAGCTTTCAAGATTAGGATGGAACACTTAGAACAGAGCCTGGTTTGTTCCATTATATTTGAGTGCTTTTTCTCATAATCGTTACATATATATCTCATCCGTTCTTGTGCATTGCAAAGCCTCTTACATATACTGCCTTGACCTCATTAATATCTATGCTCTTCACAGACACTGGTTTATACAACTTTTAAAAAAGTCAATAGGGGCGAACTGAGGAATAACTATGAGAAAAGGATGCATACAATCAAAACTTGTGAAACTCTCAAAGGGCCAATAAAAAATCGTCAACTCATGGGTCTTAAAACGTGAAATGCTATGAAATATAGTATATACAGTAGGATGGCAACTACATCAACAGTGTGAAGACATTTGCAAATACTTGGTGCTAATGAAAAGCACAATAAAACGTATTATCTAAAGAACATTCAAATATTGAACATTCAAATTGAAAGAACATTCAATTCTCATTGGTGTGTTCCACTGGCCTTTTCTCCTGAAGTCAGATTAACAGGAGGTCTCTGTAAGGGTTGCATATGTAGGACATGAGACACATTTGTTAGGTACTCTCCCCCTAAACAGATAAGCAGGTAGTTGTAAGAATTTCATAGATTATTATTTCCCAGAACTCAACATTCTATCTGGAAAAGCAAAACCTATCGTATTAATTCATAAAAATACATGGAAGAGATCTCTTTATAGATGACTTCTCAAGAGTGCAGCTATTGGCCATAAAGAAGAATTAGCAATACCCATGCTTGATATTGCAGAATAGTAAAATTACGGGGAAATGTAAGCATGTGCTGAAGTTTTATCAAATATATTTTAATTATCACATGCAAATAACAATGGGGTTTTTATTTCACCAAAAGGAGAAAGGGCTCAATTGAAGTTGCTAGACACTTCAGAAGAATTGGGGTCACTCTTTGGAAAGTGAATATGCCAATGTATCTACAATGGACATACTCTTTCTCTAGCAATTGCTGTGAATTAGAAATCTATAACTTCCTGAACAAAGCATCAGAAAACTCAGTAACATCGCCATGGGGTATTAGTGTGGTGAAGCACAACACCACCGTCAGACATGCATCAGTGGAAAATGTCTTCATTAGGGAATGAAGGAGAATTGTTCAGCTCATGCCCAGTTATTGAAAGAATAGCCTAAGGAAAACATCATACTCCATAGCACTGCACCCCATAATGTTTTTCCCCTGGAAGGCCATCAAAATGTACAATTTTTTTCTGGATGTCCACCCTGCAGATTTCCTTTAGATTGTAATGATGTTTCACGTTTCTTCTCCCTTTTTTAAGTTCTGTTGATGTGATGAAATATAAAATTGAATCTGTAAGACTCACAACTGAGTCACTCCTGGTAATGGTTTCCAAGAACACTTGTGGAATGCTATGCAGAAATCTTCCCCTTTACAGAAGTGGTTGTCAACCTTCCGAATGTTGTGACCCATTAATACAGTTCCTCATGCTGTAGTGACCCCAACCATAAAATGATTTTCAATACTACCTCATGAATATAATTTTGTTGCTGTTATGAATTGTGATGTAAATATCTTTGTTTTCCAGTGACCTTAGGTGACCCTTGTGAAGGGTTGTTTATCCCTCAAAGCAGACAACTGCTATTCTAGAGACTTCTATTGGCATGACTTTCTCCAGTCTTTATGGAAGTTTATATCTGAGAGTGTCTTGAGAGTCAGTCATACTGAAAAATTTCCTTTCTTTATGGATTAGTCTCCCCCATGACTAACTTTTCCCCATATTCCTCTAGAACACTTACTTTCAAGGCTCCATATGGACATTAATACTCTTTGCTCTTCTTTTATCTACTGCAATGTGGTCAGTCAAACTTTTCTGAACACAAACACATATGATCTCTTCAAACTTCGATGGATATGTGTAAATATATTAGATTTTATACACAATAACTGTGTTTCTATTACATTCATCTGTATATATATATATATATATATATATATATATATATATTTGTGTTCATCTGGAAATCAATGTAGGTTCTTTGCTTGACCCATTTAAGGGACTCTAATTTGCACAAGTGTTGCACTATATGTATATCTGTTTTGATTATAGTTTGTGATGTTTTTTATTTTTATTTTTATTTATTATTTTTGTTTGTGATGTTTGAATTAACAAATGTACCATTCATCACTGTTGACTTTTTTATCTGGAATGGGTAGGCTCATGGCTATTTTTCCACCAAGAAACTCAGGAATAGTTCCCAGGATATCTGGGAGTTACTCTAGACTCTCACATTATCGTTACTGCAGCAGCCTGCTGAGAATTCTGCAGGTTGTAGCCACTCGGAACAAGGTTTATTGGTAAAATCAATCATGAAAAGTGTCTGCATTAAATAATAAAAGCAAGGCAGCAAAGTTTAACCAGTAGGAATTCTAAAGTAACAGATGGTCTGAGAATTCCAGTCCCATTACATTCACATTTTCAATATCTGTCCAGCCAAAGAGCTCCAATGCCACTAATCCAGTCAGCTCTCAAGCTACATACAAGTGAAGACTAAGTAGTTGGTGGATGTGTGTGTGTGGGGGGGGGTGTGATGTGTGATGTTTATGTGTATGTGGTATGTAGTGTGGGTGATGTATGTTATGTGTATTTATGTGTGTATGATTGTGTATGTGGATATAATATGAATGTGTTAGGGTAGGTGCATTTGTATGTACGTGATGTGTGTAAGTAGGGTTCTGTGTATATATGAATAGTGTATGTTTGTATGTGGTGTGTGTGTACTCTTCAACTACTTACTGTAGGATCCTTGCCAGCCATTTTGCACTCTTCAACTTTGATTGTTGATGCTGGCCAGAAAACCTGCTCAGGAAGAAACATAAAGTTTGTACATTCTCATTCAGGCACACAGCAACCCAACATCCTTCATTTGCTTTTAACCTCCTGATCTCTTCAAGGTGTTACTGTCCTTGTTTTCCAAAATTCCCCTTTTACCTTCTGAATTCCAGCTATTGGGCTATTATGTTGTTATATAATTTGCTGTTTGCTCATAAAATCAGTGTTTTCTTTAACAAAACCTGTTCCATAACATGTGCAAATTTATAATTGTATATTTAAATAAGTCATTATAAATACACATATGCAAAATACAATGCATATTTTGCATTGCATTCCAGTCCCATTACAGTCCCTTTGGATGTCTACTTTTACCACCAGTTTATATCATTATGAATTATATTTATGCATCTATCTTAGCTGAATATTTTACCTTTGGTAAACAACACAGCCAGACTGGCAGGTTTACTCAAAGTGAGCCTCCATGTATTGCAACAATGTAACACATGAAATGAAACCAGTCTCTGAAACACTGTGAAGCCATCTAAATCACAGCTGGCAGAGGACAATACATTTTGAGTCATCAGCCTTTAATACAAAAAATGCAAAGTGTACTGTTTCTAATAAATTTATCATCAGCACAGTTTTACTCCTTTACTCCATTGATGCTTAGTTTTGCTTCCTTATTGTAAAGAATGATAAATGTAGTTATGCTTATTCAAATATCCATGCAGCTAATAGCCTCACACTCTGTGGAGTACACGTAGAAGATATGGTTCTTCTTCCTTTTCTAACCAGGATTTTCATGGTACATTTCCCCCAATACACCCCTTTTTCTTTTGATTAGATGAGTATTGAAGGAGTGGGGTTTTTTTCATTCATTTTTCAGAGTTCAAATCGATTTTCAAAACTTTTGAAACCAAATGGAGGAATTGGACTAAGTATATTTTTCAACTGTGACGTAAAAAAGTAACTCCAGTGTGTGTGTGTGTGTGTGTGTGTGTGTGTGTGTGTGTGTGTGTGTGTGTCCATGTGTCTAGTATTTTCTGAACCAATACATAATATCTTCAATGTATTTAAATTCTTTTCAATACCTATAATGTCAATACTTCCCTCACTAAAATGACAAACTTACACTCAAAGGTTCTTGACTGATATTGTTGATATTCAAGGAAAGGATGTGATCTTTGCTCCCCACATATATCCGGTCTTGATCTTCATCCATCAGTAATATCCTGTAGTCTAACTGGTGGTGGGACAGGCTGAAATATTCAGAGGTCTTGGTTTCTCGAAGCTCTGAAATAGTGAACAAGAAATGGTAAGCAAAGTGGTTCTAAAATTCTATGATTTTACTGAAAGGTTAATGAAAAAAGAAAGAATACACATAAACCTTTCTTCTATGATAGTAATGTTCTCAAGTGCTACTTATATCTTTAGTATAGCCAACAGCTAAAATGTGAAACTAGAATTAAGGCCCACTAAATAAAATGGAACTAACCCCTAGTACTGTAAACGTTGCCACCTACTTGCCACTTGAGAAGCTGCAGATTCTAGAGGAGAACCTACTAATGCCATTTCCCTAAACTAATGTAATTTCTAACTGTATTGTAAATACTGTAGTTCTCTCTCCTTTTCAAATAAACTTTTTGCAACAGATAAAGACTACCACAGAATGCAAAGAACAGGTGTTCAACCCTAATCAATACACCAGAGGTTCAACTTCTACGCCTAAGGCAAAGAGAACATTATAGAAGAGGAGGAGGAAAGATTATAATACCCGAAGGATCAGGATGCCTGTTGCCAGACAGTACGATATAGACAAGGGAAAATTTATCCACGGGCTGGCAACAATACAGTTGCCTGGACAGGAGTGCATAACAACACTTACTGTCTTTACAACATGAACTGAGGAAACTACATAAAGTTCTGCCTCTAAATGAACAGCTACTGGCTGTGAATGGCTGCCAAGAAAGGAAGGCTCAGTCTTCTCTAGGGACAAGCTCCCACATAGCTTGTACAATGAAAAGCTGTCTTCCCTGGGCATAGACATACAAGCAACATCAAATGGACACTACAGGTTATGCATATCTATGCGAGTATATATGCATATCTGTGTGCATGTGCTTATATATATTTATATTAAAAATAAAACTTAAAGATGATGAGGCCATAAATTTGGAAGTAGAGGGAATGGGAGTAGTTGTGGGTGAAGGAGGAGGAAAAGAAGTGATACCGATGAAATATTCATATATGAACTACTGAGAAATGAGATTTAAAAATTAATCAATTTGAAAATAATGTTAGCATATATTTTTATTTATGGGCTCTCTGCTGAGATAAATCAGCAAGTTAAAGTTCATGCCGGTGCTATATGATTCAAAGATTATTCACATTTGCAGGAATCTCAAATTTATCAATGAAAGTCATCAGACACTTGAAAGAGAAATCAATGGCATGGAGACTGTCTTACTTCTTGTCAATGTTTTATTCTCAGAATCATTACATTCACCATCCTAGATCATCTCCAAATAACTCATATATTTCCTCAATGTAATTTCCAGTGCCTTAATATGCTTTGCTACAAGTCACTTGAAAACATTATCCTATTTCTCCTTCAGGAGGCAACACCATTTGAATGATAGTGTGTCCATGAATATGGCAAAAGGAAAACATGGATTCAGATATTGAAATCCTCAGAGTTGTAACCTCTCAGTGCTCAGTGCTTAGTGCTCAGTGCCTCATGCTCATTACTCTTCTTTTAAGTTGAGTATCTGCCTACAGGCTGAACTTTGAGCCAGGAAGACACCAGGGCAACTTTTTTAAAAAGGTCAGCAATCACAATGTATGCACCCTTCTCTGCAGGTAGAAACCTCCTATCCAAAACTTAAGACCTCTAAGCAGACAGCCCTATGTTCCATTGATCTTGTGACAATGACCTTAAATAGTGATAGGTGTTGAAAGTGGATGCTTTCTGATTTGATGACATAATGATTCTAAATTTAGAAGCTTAGAACCAAAGTCCTATTTCTAGAACAGTTGTTAATGGCCACAGTTTGGCTTACAGCAAATTAAAAAGTTATAAAGATTCTTAGAGGAAGTCAAGAATCCCATCTGTGAATGCTGGACACACTTCATGTGAAAGAAAGCACACACAGATTTGTTCAGTTTGAGTCCAGTTTGAGTTAGCCAATAATATATAATGACAAAAATAACATACTCAGCTCTGTTTACAAATAAACAAACCTTAATGTGTCTCCATTAATTTTTCAGTAAATGAGTAATATTTTGTTTTTATGGTGTGTGTGTGTGTGTGTGTGTAGAAGATGATTATTTCCTACACTTCCATGTGATGGTCCATCATCAAGAGAAGACAAATCAGGAACAGAGACCATGGAGATGTGTAGCTTCCTGGCTGATGTTCCATGACTTGCTAGGATACCTTCTTTTATTTATTTATTTATTTATTTATTTATTTATTTATTTTACATTTTAATTGAGTATATTTACATCACTTTCTCCTTTCTTCCCTCTGCCTCCTCTTATATCTCCTTTCAACTTCCCCCATACAAATACAAATGAAAGCCTCTATTTCTTCTATATATCAATATCAATATATATATATATATGCATACTTATATAGGAATGTGTGTATATGTGTAAGTGTATACTATATATACATATACATATATTGTAATAATAGCTTCTAATGAATGTTTCCATGGAAACCAAATGAATTAATATATGAACATATTAAAAATGAGTGAGTAAATGTTAAAATTCCTGTAAGATTAGTAATAGTAACATTAAAATTGGACTAATTATAGGAAAACTATGGAATGGCATAGTTGCAGGGCTACCTCACCACCGAAAGATCTTCAAGTTTTTAGAAACCTTGACTTGAGACTTTCTTACTAATTGTGCTATCCTTTGTATTTACAGCCCCCAGTTGTCATCTTCTCACCCTGCCTCACATAGTTTATGTAGAACATGGTGTAGATGGGTTCTCAAACACCTCTCCATCTCTCCTTTTTCCTTCCCATCTGCCCTCCCTCCTGACTTTCTTGCACCATTTTGTTCCCCAATGCACATTAAAATAAAGCCATAAATGTAGTCTTAGCTAGAAAATAAGAACACTGGATGCAATTGAATTTTCCTCTACCTGTTTCAACAGAAAACAACCAAAGTCATGAATTAGACTCAGTGCCAGAGAGGGCAGTAACCACATAACTTAAAGGCCTTTCTGGTCCAAGGGTTTTATCTATCTTTTCTGGCCATAAAGCATCTTCAAATTTAATTATCTGTAGCCCATTGACAGCTGACAGCTGTTAACCAGGAAGATTTACTTCACAACTGCCACTTCCTTGATAGAAGCCTGGGGTATTTTGTTAAAAATGCTACTTAAATTACTATGAGTGGTGATAATTGAGCTTTGGAGCTGTGGGGGAGAAAGGAGTGAGAGTTCAAAGCAATGAGAATTTTAGTCATCAAAAGAACAACCCAAGACTCTATCTTCCCCTTCATTGTATATTCTATTTGAGTGGGTCTAGTCCAGTGGCTTTGTATGCTTATAGGAAATGAATGATCTAATGATTTGAATTAATTGAAGGGAATAAGTCACTATTGTTAGTAAGAACTGCCTCTAAACACAGCAAAGAAGGAGGTTGACTTGCATTTCCTTTAAATGCCAGTAATGACAGCATCTTTTTTATTTTTTTTATTATTTTTTTTACATCATCAAGGGTATGGTATTGTTTCTCAGGCCATGCTGAAATGACTGAGAATTAAATTAGCTGAGGCTACAGTATGTATCCTTAGAAAAGTGGCTACACAAAGGGCAACACAGGTCTCCAAGTTCCTGGGAAAAATCTACTGGGAAAGAGCATTAGAAAAATACATATTTCTGCCCTGATAGCCACATCATAGTAGATGTTCATGATGGAAAATAAATATCATGCCTTTACGCCAAGTTTTTTTCAGGTAAATTTTCCAGAATAATATTCTTACCTAATATTTGCATGCTCAGGACATTTCTGCATAATAGAAACCATTGTGAACCAAGATAATTTAAATAAAACTGGGAGAACAGGTCCCCTGGCAAGATAAACTCATCAGTCAGCAGTAGTTAGCATATCATTACAGCACTGAGAATATGTATATGTATATACTGTATTATATCTGCCAGTAATGTAATATTCCTAACCACATGAAAACTAATTTTGAGCAGCATCTTAATAATTGAGAGTAGATGGGGTGTTACAAGTATTGTTAAGAATCTCCTTCACTAAAAATTTCATTGATATATTCTGTAACTGTGGTAGAATGCATGGGTTTCTTTTATGAATGATAACCATTAGTCTTGCGTCCTAATAAGGGAGTCATTTGCTCAGAATATTACACTGTCTTTGTCTTTTCTAAAGTTCCTGATTAGGTGAAGAATTACTGCACTGAAATTCAATTCCTAGCACTCTCTTGGTTAAAAGCAGTTACGATGGTTATTCACTAATTACATTTAAAGCTCAGGCTGTGCAATCGGTTTATTTATTCAGCACATATTTATGGCCTGGTTAGCACTGTAGGCTTTATGCTTCATGCAAATAGCTGATGCAGGTGAGAAGATAAGCTCTTGTGACAATTTCACACCTCTACTTTGCCCTGTGATTTTATGGAGCTAGCCTGCAAAAACAGTCTGGGGAGACACCTTTCCTGAGCCTTAGGCAGAAAGCACAGGGTAAATTCCAATGCCTTGGGTGGTTTTGACCTTAGAGATAGAGGCTCTGACAGGATAATATCCTCTCCCGGATGTCTTATCTTAGAAAGATTTTTAAGTAGAGAGGGCTTCATGATTCACGCCCTCCTGGAGGCTGTGTTTTGAAACTGGGCTAGAAACTGAATTTTACCTCTCCCTTTAGGAAAAACCAGTAGATAAGGAGCTGAAAGGACAGCCCAGCAAAATTATAGTTCTTAATTCCTAGTGTAAACAGAGAACAGCAGGCAGGTTGTTAAAACCACATTTGCTCAAAATTAACAGCCCCAAAGAGCAGCAAGCCGACTGTGAGCTCATCAGTAGAGCAAAGACCAAGCCTGAAACACTCACCTCACTCGATTCCTACTCACTGTTCAGTATTCAGCCCTGACGTGATTCTAGGGCTTCTGCAAAGCCATTAGCATTTAATGAATTTCATGGGTCATCCCAAGAAAGGTCGAAAGGTCAGGAGTGGAATATTTGCAAAGCAAGGATAGTTCTTAATCTCTGAGCAGAACCAGATAGCCCCTACTTTCCTAGGCATGAAGACATG